AAGTCGATTTGAAGTTTGAGACCGTCAGGAAGAAATCTAGTTTAAATCACAACCCAAGACACAAGAATGTTTCACAAAACATTCTTACTACATGAGATACCCTTTGTTATTTTCCATTTTATTTTGTTCTATTCTAGTTCAGATTTCTGAAATGCTGACCACATCCACTAAATTAATTTCACAGCCCACTAATGGATCATGACTGTGGCTTACAGAGCACTTTTATATTACAATTAGTTTTCCAAGTTGGGCATTGTAGGAACCACTGATTGCAGCTTTGGCATGTTTCCCAGACCACTCATCCCACGCTAAGTAACCTCAGCTAAGGAGTTTCACCACTGGTATATTCTAGAATTGTAGATGTCTTCTCTTAATATGAAGATCTTTTTCTGATTGTCAAAGAAATATATAAAAAAATTAAAAATACAGGAAAATACTTGTATTACTCATCATATCATCGAGAAAAAAAAGCACGGTTGTAATTTACATACTAATAACAGGCATTTATTCAGCACTGACTACATGCTAGACGTTATACAAGTCCTTACAGATATATTATCTCACTTATTCCTCACAACAGTCCTGTAAGTTAGAATTGATATTGTTATAATTCACATTTTACAGATGAGGAAACTGAGTCTCAGAGAGATTAAGTACTTAACAAAAGGTCACATCACTCTTCGGTGACTGAGCCCAATTTGAACTGAGCCACTGCTAACTACCGAGTCCCTGCTCACAATTTTTATGCTATACCCTTGAACATTCAGGTTATTTCCAAATGTTTGCTATTCTAAGCAACTCTTAGTGAGTAAAATCTTTTTTTTTTTTTTTTCATTTTACACTCTTCTCATAAGAAAGAGTCTGGGCCATTAGTATTACTGAGTCAAGAGTGTATGCATACATTGAGTACTTTTGGTATGTACTGCTAAGTTATTTTCTCACCAGCAGCGCAACATGACAGAGCCAGTCTGACCTCACCCTGTCTCGCAGAACGTTTGTGGATCCCACCACATTCACCTGTTAGCAGTTAGGACGTTGGCACTTGTTAGAGGAAACTGAACTAACATGGGGATTCAGAACATGGTAGTGACAGTGGTGACTTTTAGCATTTCATGGCTCCCCGTGTAGCCCCTTGGGAAGGTCGATGAGAGCAACAATTTGCTCCTTGTGTTCAAGTAACTAAATGGGATGATTCCATTCTAACCCCTGTTGTCAGCAACTATGGGTGTAAGCAAGATACTCAGGGGGAACCTGCACTTTCCTGCATTCCTTTACCTACGGTTTTGCAGTATGGCGGGAAGGAATGACATCAAATTGAAAAGAGAATCTGACCTGTGTTCTGTGAAGCTTCTGAGCAGGATTGTGAGATCAGTGGAGTGGAAGTAAACCTTCCACTGTTTTTATACTGGGACTGATCTTATCTCCAGTTTGAACAAAAAATTAGTAACTTGATTTTAGCTCAGTCCTCTGCACATCTTATAGGTTATTTTCTCCCTACAATATTACGCTTAGATTCTCCACAAACCTTAATGTCTGTCATTAGAAATGCTTGTAATGGTCTTTACCTACCTCAATCTGAAGATGAAAGAATTGGGATAACCTAGCATGTCCTAGGTCCCACGATGCCAATGCCCCTTTAAGGGGTCATATACCTCCTTGTGGGATGCAATGATAGAAACCTACTGGATAAAACTTTACAGAGTGACGTCCCCTTACATTATCTCATCAGATCCTCATGACAACCCTATGAGGAGGTGCAGGACAAGAAAACAAGCTCAAAGAATTGATGTGATTTGTGCTGAGGCCACATATTAAGTGGCAGAACTGGAACTAGGCCAACTAACTCTAAGTGCATTCCATTCCACTGTCACAAATGCTTATACTCAAATGTGCACGCACACATGTGTATACTCACCCCCCCCCACATACACACATTTGCATTTTGCCATTTACAAGTGCAGGGCTCTTGCATCCATGCTACCCTTACCATAGGAACTGGGCCTCAGGAACCAGGGAACAAAGCGGTAGGAGCTACTAGGGAGGTAAAGAACAGAGAGATATTGGCCCCTAGATGTCCTATTCTTCGCTTGATACCAATATTCCTCACTACCTGTGACTTCCCATGCCATCTGGAGTCATCAGCCGGAGATACAACCAGCTGCTGATATAAGACATGCCCCCTGCCTGGAGAGCTGACATCCCTCCAATGCCTGATCAGAACACTCAGAATGACCACTAGAGGCCAGACACCACTGCAAGTGGCAGCCTTCTGGTTCTGCGGCAAGTATAAAACCCAGTCACAGGAAGAACTACAATGGAATCACCAGTACTACAGACCATAAAGTGTGGCCTCTGGTTGTCCTTTTTTGGCTGCACTGTGGAGAAGACACAGCACTGAGAAAAGAGGGAATGCTAGGGTGGGGGTGTGCTATTCTAATAAGCCTGAAACCAGGACTTCATCTTTGGGTGTTACGTAGAACCCTTCTATTAACATGTTTATCCCTTCAGTTAACAGTCATACACCTCTTATAATTTAAGTGACAGATGATTGAAATTATGACTGGTCCACAGAGAATGAAGTAAACCTACATGATCTGCAGGGAAGGGGGTAGGTGAGATAATAGCGACTAGGTTCAATTCCTAGGATCAGGTCAGAAATTAGGAGAGGAGGCCAGTTTATTTGTTAAGGGGGTATCCCGCAGATTTTATGGGGACATTGGAAAGAGAATTTTCACTACATGTAAGACAGCAACACTTACTGAATTTCTTAGTAGACATCTCTGTTCTTCCCTCCTGTAATCTTAGCTGTCTCCTTCCTCTTCCCTCTTTCCCCTCATGGCTCCACAACCTCATCTGTGGATCCATGCTTTCCAACACCAACTAGTCTGTGTGACCTCAGAGAGAGACTGTCACATCCCCTTCCTGTGTTGGTTAGGTCCTAGGATCTCCTGGCCTTCAATGTAACCTTCAGTGTAACCCTACTTCCCATCCTAATCACTGCCTATGACAAGGTCATATTTAAGTCTATGCACTGTAAGCTCTTTGAGGGCAGGAACTCTGACTTCTGTTTCTTTATCTCCGATAGTGCCTATTAAAAATGCTGTCTGAAAGTCACAAAAGTCTCAGAGATTTTTGTGCTGTATCAGATAAAATCAGTATCTGATACTGCTTTGAAAACCATAAAAGAGAAGCAGTCATTAAATAAGAAGCCCTGGTCCATCCAAAGCAAGACTCACATAGATCATAAATGTTGCCACTCGGTTCCCAGACTTCATTCTGTACAGTGGGCTAGTTGGTGACTGAGACAAAAATAGAACATATCATTATTTTATGCAGATGGCACCAGACTGACAGGATTCCCACATAATACAAGGAGAAAAATGGGGATGTCACAGTTGGGATATAGCCTTGAGCCACACCCTTGCTGGCAGGTACTCACTTAAGTTTTTTTCTTTTGCTAATTTATTAGATACTCATTTAAGTGAATTGTATACAGTTGATCCTTGAACAATATGGGTTTAAACTGTGTAGGTCCACTTGTATGCAGGTTTTTTTTCAATGAGTATTGTAAATGTGTTCTCCTTACGATTTTCTTAACATTTTCTTTTATCTAGCTTACTTTATTGTAAGATTACAGTATATAAACATATAACATACAAAATGTGCTAATCAACACATTTTTATGTGATTGGTATGGCTTCTAGTCAACAATAGGCTATGAGTATTTAAGTTTTGGGGAGTCAAAAGTTATATACAAATTCTTGGCTGTGCAAGGGGTTGGCCCATGTTGTTCAAGGGTCAACTGTACTAATCAAACAGAATTGCTTGTCAGTAGTGAAAGTACTATATGAGGTTAACTTCAGGTTCAGTGAAATAAAGAAATTAGTAGATACACTATTACAGATAATCATTCTATAGGAACACCAAGTCATCAGACTGAAGTTCCCAATTATTTGCTTGAGACACACTGTTGTCATAGTACAGTTTGACTGAGATACAATTTACATATCCTAAATTCACCCACTGTAAGGGTGTTTTTCAGTGAGCTTTAGTAAATTTTAATAGTTGTGCAGCACTCCCACAATTCAATTTTAGAACACTTGCCTCAGCTTAAAAAGTTGCCTCATGTCAGTCAGTCCCTATCCTACCCTCAACCTCGGGTAACCACTGATGTGCTGTCTCTATAGTCTCGCCTTTTCTAGAAATTTCATATAAACAGAATCATAAAATACGTAGTCTTTTTTTGTTTGGCTTCTTTCACTTAGTATAGAGTTTTTATGATTCATCTCTATTGGATTTATCAGTAGTTAGTTCATTCCTTTTTATTGCTGAGTAGTATTCCATTCTGTAGATATAGAAAATTTTGTTTATCCATTCACCTGAATGGGTTGTTTATAATTCTTAGCTATTACCAATAAATCTGTTATAAACATTCTTGTACACATGTTTGTATGGACATAGTTTCCTTTCCTCTTGGGTAAAATACTTAGTAGTGAAATGGCTGCATCATATGTAGGTGTATGTTTAACTTTTTAAGAAACTGACAAACTAGGGCACCTGGGTGGCTCAGTCAGTTAAGCGTCTGCCTTCAGCTCAGGTCATGATCCTGGGTCCTGGGATTGAGCCCTGCTTTGTCGGGCTCCCTGCTGAGCAGGGAGTCTGCTTCTCCCTCTTCTTCTGCCCCTCCATCCTACTCATGGCCTCTATCTGTCAAATAAATAAAATCTTAAAAAAAAAAAAAACCGCCAGGGGCGCCTGGGTGGCTCAGTTTTTAAGCGCCTGCCTTCTGCTCAGGTCGTGGTCCCAGGGTCCTGGGATCGAGCCCCGCATCAGGCTCCCTGCTCCGCGGGGAAGCCTGCTTCTCCCTCTCCCACTCCCCCTGCTTGTGTTCTTCCTCTCGCCTTATCTCTCTCTGTCAAATAAATAAAATCTTTTAAAAAAAGAAAACGCCAAATTGTTTTCCATGTTTTCAAAAGTGGCTGTACCATTTTACATTCCCATCAGCAATGTATGAAAGTTCGAGTTCCTCCACATCTCCATCAACACTTGATATGATCTGTCTTTTTTAATTTTAGCCACCGTAATAGAAATATGGTGCTGTCTCATTGTGGTTTTAATTTCTAGTTCCCTAATGACATTGAGTATGTTTTCATGGGCTTATTAGCCATTCATTTATCTTATTTCATTATTCAAAATATTAATTCAAATAAGCCCATTTTTAAAAAATTGAGTTATGGGATGCCTGGCTGGCTCAGTAGATAAAGCACGCAACTCTTAATTTCAGGTTTGGGAGTTTAAGTCCCACACTGGTCATAGGGCCTACTTAGATAGATAGATAGATAGATAGATAGATAAAAGAAAAAATTGAATTGTCTTATTTTTTTTAAAGATTTTATTTATTTATTTACTTATTTGAGAGAGAGACAGAGAGAGAGCATGGGGGTAGGGGCAGAGTGAGAGGGAGAAGCAGATTCCCTGCTGAGCACGGAACCCGACAAAGCAGGGCTCAATCTCAGGACTCTGAGATCATGACCTGAGCCAAAGTCAGACGCTTAACCGACTGAGCCACCCAGGTGCCCCTGAATTATCTTATTATTGAATTATAAGTTATTTATATATTTTGGATACAAGTCCTTTGTCAGATACAGAATTTGTAAATGTTTTCTCCTAGTTAATGGCTTGTCTTTTCATTTCCTAATGGTGTTTTTGAAAAGCAAATGATTTTAATTTTGATGAGGGCCAATTTATCATTTTTATTTTTCTTTTATGGATTGTGCTTTGTTAATTTTTGTATATGGTATGAGGTAAGGGTCTAAAGTTGTTGTTGTTGTTGTTATTTTGCAAGTAGATATCCAGTTGTCCCAGCACCATTTGTTGGAAAGGGTATCTTTTCCTCATTGAATTTCCTTGGCACCTTTGTGAAAAATCAATTGACCATAAATGTGTGAGTTTATCTGGACTTTGTTCTGTTCCACTGACCTATGTGTCTATCCTATATCTGTTCCACATGGCCTTGATTACTGTAGCTCTGTATTACATTTTGAAATCAAGTAGTGTGTGGCCTCCAACTTGGTTCTTTTTCAAAATTTTGGCTGTCCTGGGTCCTTTGTATTTCCATATACATTTTAGGATCAGCTTATTAATTTCTATAAAAATAAGCATCCTATAATTTTGATAAAGTTTGGGTTGAATCTACAGATCAATTTTGGGGAGATCTTCAAATCCTCAAAAATTATTTACTGAGTACACATCAGCAAAGATGGGCAATTGAGATCATGAGAAAAGGAAAGTAACTGGAAGAAGGACAATCTTCACTGGGAAGTCCCTGGGTGAAGTGAGATAGAAGACTCCATGACAGGCCACATTCTTCTTCCCACTAGCAAATTTTGGAAAGGGGGGATGGTGGCCCAAAAGGAAATGAGTCAGCAGCGGCAATCAACTTGAAACCAAGGTTTTCAGACCTTCCTGGAACAAGAGCCTTTGTTCTAAGATTTCACTTGGTATTCCCTGAGAACATTATAAGGGCTCTGCCTTAGAGAAATAAATAATACCCTGGTTCCCTACCACAGGAGGTTGATCATTGACCCTATAGTTACCGTAGCATGGTCAAAGTGAGGCTCATAGTGACCGCCAATTCCATAATTCACCACCTGGAGATACTCTGCGTAGGGAGGCTGGACATCAAGGCCTGTGAGGGCACCAATGCGATGGTCAAGGGTCACCAGCAGGGGATCGACAGTGTCCTTCAGCCAGGCACTAAAACACACCACAGGTTGTAGCATCAATGATCTGATGCCAGAAATGACTATGTCTGTGAATGAATGAGTTATATCAACTGCCAGAAGGAAGGAAGGAAGGAAGGAAGGAAGGAAGGCAGGCTGGCTGGCTGAAGAAACAGTATAAACACAGACATGGAGTTATAACAATATACAGTCTGTGTAAGTGTAGGAGCATTTGGTCTATGAAAGAAGTAATGGGAGACAAGGCTGGAAAAGTATGTTCAGGACCTGTTGTAAAAAGCTGAGGACACCATGGTCATAAAACTGGTCTTTGTGGGTGGTAGATAGTCAGTGAAGGTTCATGGACAGGAAAGTGATTTGGTGACCAGGAGTCCACTGATGACCTTTGAAGGATCAGTTCCAGTGAAGTTGTGAGGACAGAACCAAAATTCAAAGGCATACAGAGTGATGGTAGGGAAAGAAGAGGAGGCAGCGAGGGTGTCAGCTTCTTCACCTGAAAAGTAAAGCGAATACCACCTACTCCCTTAAAAGCAATGAATCTAAGTAGAAGGTCAGATTTTTCTCTTTGACACCACAATGTCAGAAAGGTTAGAAAAGCAATAAAGTGAGGCCATATGGACCTTCCAAAGTTTAGAGAATAACTACTAGTATGAAAGGTCCCTAAATGTACCAGACCAAAGAAGTTAAGGTTAAGCCAAATGATTCTGAATCAAAGCTTTCATTATTCACCTCACTTCCCAGACAACAAAACTATCCACTCAGCCTGAGGTCTGGCCTCTCCCCAGAGATGCTGTTGTCACTGCCTCCCATGGCTCTGATGGGGACTCATTCTCTTACTCATCATAAATCCTGTCTTTACAATACAAATCAAGGACTGCAAGGGGGTGGGGGCAGGAGTTGAGGGGAGAGGATAAAGCTGGGCTTTCACAGCTGAATCTGCCTCTCTAAAAGCCAGGTCCAGAGATTCTGGCCACCCTTCTTGCCTGAATGTTGGCACGTCATGCTTCGAATATGAGTCAGGAGGCAGGAATGGAACTTTATAAAGTCAAATTCCAAATGGGAACAGAACTGAATTCTCCGGAAAAGCAATCCTGGCTAGGAGAACATCTCCACACCTAATTTCTGGTTCCTGGCCTAAAAGCTTTGTTAAGTCTTTTCCTAAGGGCCTCCTAGTTAAGTCCTCAGACCCTATAACAACCTGTGAAAGGGCCTTGGGTGAGAGGAGTGGAAATTTCTCCCTCTCAACAAGCATGTACAGGTAGAAACATGAACTATGGATTCTCTAGCAGCATCTCTGGATGGCTGTTGCTGACCTTCAGTCAGCTGTGCCACAGGCCCAAGGGCAGGCAGCAAGTATGACCAGAGTCCCTGCCAAGGAAGGACGCCTCTTACCTTTTGCTGATTCGGTACTCCACCGGCAACTGCTTCTCCCCTGATGCCACCACGGACCTCTGTAGCTGATGTGGAGGACGTAAGAGAAAGTGGGCATCAAGGACGATGTGAAGGGAAGGACTCGGCCATTTCCATAGACATGCCCCCCTCTTCAAAGTAAACCTAACAATCGCCAGTTCCTCCCTAATTCCAAGTATTTTGCACATGCTACGAATTTAGTGATAGCTATCGATCTCAAAAACAAAAGATAATAAGTGACCAAAAAATCTGAGCTGAAAATAACCTTTAGCGGCATGTCTGGTAGACAGTAAGCACTCAAAAAAAGCTTGCTGAACTGAAATAAAGTGATATTTGAATCCCTTTTGCATCTGAGACTGTGAGTTCTGTCAGAACAGGGGCTGTTTCTCACTCAGCTTTGTATCCTCGTGGCACAGGGCCTGGCCTACGGTAAGCACTTAGTGTTTGTCATATTAAATGAACACCTCCAACGAGGAAACTCTCCACCCTCAGAGGTAGCCTGCTCGCCTGAACAATTCCGACAAAGCCCTTTCTTATTAAGAATCAAAATCTGGGGGCGCCTGGGTGGCTCAGTCGGTTAAGTGGCTGCCTTGGGCTCAGGTCATGGTCCCAGGGTCCTGGGATCAAGACCCACTTCGGGCTCCCTGCTCCGCGGGAGGCCTGCTTCTCCCTCTCCCACTCCCCCTGCTTGTGTTCCTTCTCTCACTGTCTCTCTCTCTGTCAAATAAATAAATAAAATCTTTAAAAAAAAAAAAAAAGAATCAAAATCTGTTTTGCTGCAACTGCCTTCATTATGTGGGGAAAAAAATCCCAAACAGGTTCAATGTCACTAATTTAACTAAATGTTTCTATTTTGTTCTGAATGTCTAGATATGAATTTTAAATTCTTTTAAAATAAAGTGGTTTCTAACTGCAAAAGCACTGTACCAGGGACAGAAAGAGAAAGATTTACATAAGGATGTGTCTACTTCTGCATCTGTCATCAGAATGTCAACTCCATGAGGGCAAGTCTTTTGTCGGTGTCCCTAGAGTCCAGAGAAGGCCTGGAAGGGAGTAGGTGCGCAATATTGGTGAAAGGAACAAATGAATGAATGAATGAACCAGAGTCCTGTGCTTAATGACCCAGCCCTGGCACTTCACACGCAGTCAGAGCAGAGCAATGAACTGCACAAGACACACACCCTTTCCCTTCTTGGAGGCTTCTGTAATATTATTATTCCTGCTGCTAAACCAGGAAGACAACTTTGGAAAAGTCTCTTTGTTTCCTTGAACCCGTTTCCTCAGCTATAAAATGCAGTATGTGAACAACGCCTTCTTGGCGTTCCTTCCAGCCTATCCTTCTATGATATCAGGATGCAGGGCATCAGTGGGTGACTGATAATGCCTGTCTAGTCCTTCACCCAGCATCCTCCCCTGGGCTCCTTGTGTAGGAGAGAGGAGAGATTCTTAGAGGAGTTGCTGCCTTATGTTCTTCTAGGGTAACATCAGTGGTTTAAAGAAAAATCCTAGGGAATCTCCATTCTATCCCTGTCCCCATTAAGGAGCCACCTTGCACTTAATTCCTTTAACAATTATTTATTGTACACCAGCAAGTCATTCACTTTTGGGGACAAATATTTATTGGTTGTTCTCTGCGCTGAGTACCACGCTAGGCATTGGAAATACAGAATATGGAGCAGACGTAAGTCATGCAATGGGGCCATAATGGACAAGTACAGGGCACTAAGAGAATATTACAAAGGAGCATCTAGTCCCTTATGAGGGACAGGAAGTCTTCCCAGGATACCCAAATGACAACTGGAATCATACAGGTGAAAAGAGACCAAGGGGAGAGTGACGTAGAGAGAAGAGTATGTGCGCAGGGGTTAGGGGGAGCGTGGCCCGTTCGTGGCGATGCAAGTTGTTTAGTGTGGCTGGGGCGTCGAGCGCAAGGGGCACATGCTGTGGAGGGGTCAGCAGCAGCAGGCCAAGGAGCTTTATAACATTCAAGTGACCCATTCAAGAGTTTAAAGCAAGGGCTTGGCGTGGTCAGCTGCAACCTTTTAAAAAGTAGTCTGGCTGCAATGGGCATAATGCAGGGCTAGGCATTTCAAGGACGGCCTATGAGCCCTCCTAGATTATAGTCTAGTTGAGGAGACAGGATGATACCCCCGAAACAACTAGTGATACTAGACAGCACAAAAATGGCAGAATAAATGAAAAAAAAAATCAAATATAGACAACTGATGACAAAAGCTTTGAGTTCAAAAAAGAGAGAGGTTCTTGTACGTGGCCCCAAAAAGTGCTCTGAAGAAGATGTTCCTACTGAAAGTACCCACGAAAGTGGAGAGTGACAGGGCTAGTGGGCAAAGGGAGGCATGAGGCTTCCACAGAGTCTTCACGAATGGGTAGGATGTGGATGGAAGGACAAGTGACAAGAGAGCAGTGTTTGGGATGGGACACAGATGAAGTAAATTCAAGGCTCAGGAGAGGCTTCAGTGGCTTGGGTTGAATTTAGTTTCCATGCGGCCAACCCACCCTATAAGCCGAGGCTTATTCCCGGCAGAGCCGAAGACCAGACAGGGATCAGCGCCTCCACATCAGCCTCTGGGAAGAGGGAGAGTGGCGAAGTCTTTGCCTGCCAAACAGCCGACCTGGCCAGGCCGGACTGCTGGGAGGGCTGCCTGTCCAGTCGTTCTTTTTTTTTTTTTTTTAAGATTTTTTATTTATTTATTTGAGAGAGAGAGAATGAGAGAGAGCACATGAGAAGGGGGAGGGTCAGACAGAGAAGCAGACTCCCTGCCGAGCAGGGAGCCCGATGCGGGACTCGATCCGGGGGCTCCAGGATCATGACCTGAGCCGAAGGCAGTCGCCCAACCAACTGAGCCACCCAGGCGCCAGCCCAGTCGTTCTAAGGAAGAAGCACCTGCTGGCCAGATACCGCCGCTGGCTCACTGAGATGCCGAAGCTATTGAAGATACTTTGTTCCAACTGACCGGCGGAGCTTAATGCTCTCAAATACTGCACAAAGATTCCAGACTTCACTGGAGGGGCTCCTGGATGAGATGACTCTTGCTACTCTTATCCCTCCGATCCATGTCTGCTAGTCAGAATCTTCCTTAAAATCAACAGGCCTGATCGTGCCAATCTGCCGTTTAAACTGTCCAAGAGCTCCCCCTACCCCCACCCCACCCCCAGCCTCTGGGATCAAACCCAAGCTCCCCAGCACTATACCTAGGCACTTCCTGATGGTATCTCACCGTCTGGCCTCATCTCGGATCACCTCCTAGCCCATCCCTCGCACGCTTGCGCCAGCAAGCTCCACCCCACTCTCTGAACACACCGCCTGTGGGGTCCTTGCACGTATTGTTCCGTCTTCCTGCCATACCCTTGGCCACCTTGTTACTCTGATGAATTTCACATCCGCAGGGACGCCTCCTCTGTTTTCCCGTCCTCTCTTTACCCATCTGCCTTTCCCTCACAGGAAGGCTCACTTTTGGAGGCCGCCGTAGCACGGTGCCCTGCACAGTGTAGTGTATATACCCGTTTCCCCCGTTATGCTGTGAGCTCCTAAAGGGAAAGGGCCAACGCTAAATCTCTGCAAATGTCCCACCCCCGGTGCAGCGTCTGGTGCACAGCAGGCTCGGTTCCGTTGACAGGGGGCCAAACGACCACCTGGATGAACAGGGCACCATCGAGGGCACGCACGATGACATAAGGAATTCTGAGACAGCCATTCAAAGAGGCAGCATGCTTATAACGATGAGGTAGTCTGTGTTATTTTTCTAAATAGTTGCCACCCTTCCAGGGCGAGGATTAAATGTCCTCTCCCCCTTGACATCAAGGTCGGCGCCACGGCTGGGGGAGCCCTCCCTGCAGAAGCATTAGACACACTCTCCCTGTTGACTGCGGTGGTGGCCCCATGCTTTGCCTCAACCGATGAAACAGGGGCAGAAGCAGGAGCTTTAGGAGCCAGCTAGCAGTTGGCCATCTCTGTCTTTTCTGTCTCCTCTGAGGCTGGAGGTGTCCCAGACGTAGGTGGCTCTGTCAGGCTGGGTCTCCAAGTGAAGACAGTTCTGCCCCCCAGCTGCAGCCAGCCAAGACAGGCACGTGGTGTAAGTAAGAAACAAACCTTTGTTGTTGTTGTGTCTGAGACTCGGGGGCTGTTTGTTACTGACCATAATCTAGCCTACGTTAGCTGCCACGAGAAGGCAGAGGAACAGAACAGCCATCGACGGACCGCTGAGTTCCAGGTCTGGCTACAGCTACACGCCTGCCCTTCATCAAGTCCCTTCCCCTCTCTGGGCCTGTTTCCTCCTTAACAAAATAATCTAGCTAAACTAGATAATCTTTCCACTCGGTAATCCTGTAAATCTGCACTAGGATATCACTCCTGGTCCATCATTTCACTCTTTAAAAAAAAAATTCTACCCATTATGTGGAATGACTGACATTGGGGAGGAGGGGGTCCTTTTGATTTTTTTAGGTTAAATTTACATATAATGATATGCACAGATCTCAAGTGTATGATTTGCTGAATTTTCACAAATGCACACAGCTGTGTACTCCACGTCCCTAAAACAAGATATTGAGAGCACATTTTCAACCCCCCAGCAAATGCCCTTGTTCCCTTCCCCAGCCAGTCCCCTCCCTCCAAAAGCAATGACTACTGTGATTTTTTTTTTTTTTTACCATTGATTCGTTTCATGGAATGGTTGGCATTTTGAATTCCTGGATTGATAAAGTGTACAGTTGTTCAGGCTGCCTGTTCTCACATTCCTGAACCCCAGGCATGTGATGACACAAAGAGAAGTTTTGGCAGGCTTTGGGGACACTCACCCACGGTTCTGCAAGCCCTCTAATTTTCTGAGCCTCCACGTCACTGACAAAGTCATGGTAGAGAACAACATAGGGCTCCAGGTGGATGACCTCCTTCCGGACGGGCTGGAGCTGCAGGTAGGGGCTCGAATTTGTCTCATATGAACAGTAGAGGCTAGGGATCTGGTAGTGAGTAGGCTGGAAAAAAAGCCTAGAATCAGCATGAGAGATGAAGGGTCTAGGAGCAGAAGCCAGTGTAGAGAACTACGACATAAAAAAACTGGCATGCGGGAGATGGAGAATGTGATCAGTCTGATGCTGTCCAAATGAGCTTTATGTTTCTAACGCATCAGCCTTTTCCCCTCACGTCGTTCCAATGCAACCTTTTCTTTCTCTAGCTACGCCTGTTCCCCCTTTCTCTTTCCCTTAGGAATCCTACCTGGGATCCCAGGGTCTGACATAACCCCTCGTAGGTGTCTCTGGTCTGCAAGTGGGGTACGTTGGGCCTCTGGATAACAGCCTCAGCTACCACCTGGTTGGGGCTCTCTGCCAAAAGCTTTTCGTATTTCAACACATTCCTGGCCATCCTCTTATTATCTGGGCCTGGAAGAAATCAGAGCAAGGAATAATACAGATGAACAAACAATGGTCTCTGTTTTCTCAAGTTTTCCTATAGCTTCCTGGTCACACACAACCAGCCACTGGACACCATGAAAAGCTGCCATGTCCATGCACAGGAGGATGGTAAGGCCCTCACTCCCAGAAGAGTACCTGGTATTAAAAAAGACTGAGTTAGGCCCGGTAGATCTGAGGGTGCAAAGGACTTTGGGAAGGAAAGTGGTACTGAACACTGTTAGACCAAGGGATCATAAGGATGGCAGCTCTAGGATACCGTGATGGTAAGTTTCATGTATCGGGAAGAAGCTTCACCCCTTCCTTCCTTCTTTCCTTCCTTCCTTCCTGCCTTCTTTCCTTCCTGCCTTCTTTCCTTCCTTCCTTCTTTCCTTCCTTCCTTCTTCCTTCCTTCCTTCCTTCCTTCCTGCCTTCCTGCCTTCATTTACCCATTCAATACATCTTCAGGGAACATCTACCATGTACTGGATACTGTGCTAGAGGCTAACCTCCCAGAGTTTAGAGCCTAATGGAGAAAAGCTACATTAAATAACTACTCACAATGAAACCCGTAAATGCTATGAAAGAGAAGTCCAGAGAGCCAAAGCCTATAGCAGAGAGACCCAACCTATTCTTCGCTGGAGCAGTGAAAGCTAATCCATTCCCCAATCTACAAGATCCTTCAAAATTCCTAACTGGCCTACATACAGAACAGTGCAGTATGAGACGGAGGGGTTCTAGACTTTGGTTCTAGCCCGGGTTGTCTTGTGTCTTATCTGTGCCCACCTGTTGGTGCCCCCTGTGGCTGTAAGATGCCCCTGGGCTAGCAGCTCCCCATGGTCTGCTAGCCTCTGTCCTGAGTTTCAGTGCCTCTCAGAAGGACATGCTGGATTGTTCTAATGCTCCCAAAGCATCTTTCTCTGAGGAGCTCAGTGTGCCTCTTAACTACCACGACCACCACCACCACCACTCTGGCAAAAGAGGGGACAGAAGTTACCATCCTTTTTGTAACAAGAGGCAAAATGAAGTTTGGGAGAATAGAAGCAGTGAGCCCAAAACCCCAGTGAAAATACTGCAGAGCCAGAAATGGAGCTGGTAATCCCAATTTGCTGTGTCCTACTCCACCTATAACTGCGCATGGTTTGGGTTCTCTGGGACAGGTAGAGATTTTAACAGAGCAAACATAAAGAAAGAGAGAAGGGCTGGGTTATCATTTTGCCTGTAGTAATTGCCCACATGTTTCCAGATCATTTGGCTACTTCCACATCCTACTGCTTGCCCAATTATCAGACTGGAATAATGTTACTAAATGGATTCAGTAAAAAGCGATACAACTGTGAAGTCCTCTGTGAAATACTTTATATTAAAATATCATAGTGATTATTTACTTACCTTAGTATCTCAGTATCTTATTAAAGGAAAACCTGGGAAGCCAGCTTCCACCAAAATTTTCACTAAAAATATCCAAGCAGAGAGCTAAGCTAGGAAATCTCCCTCCCATTTAACTCTGGTGACGTGCCCCGGGAGGAGCGTCGAAGCTGAACCCCGCACTAACTGAGCAGGGTGCTTGTCAGCCACGTGAGCTCTGGTTTAAAGGGAAGAGCTGCTATCTCTGTGGAAACAGCCAAAATCAGTCATCCCACAGAATCACTCTCCTTGCACGCACAGCTCTCACTGATCTCATTTGCCACACACACACCCCTCCCCTGGTCCTGGCCTTTTTCCCCGGCTGGGAGTGGAAGAGCAAAGGGACAGGTTGATACCTTCTTAGCATTTTCCCACAGACCAAAAAACTTCCCCCTGATGCACTGATCAATAGCTAAGAAAGATTTGATCCAAAATTAGAAATGTGGCTTGGATTATAAAATTAGAGAAATAAAAACACATGGCTGTCTTGTCCTTGCAGGGATTAAGGGCCAGGAGCAGAAGGGATTTCCCAGTAAATCAGCGCTGTGGCTCATTCATCTTCTATCATTACATACTGTAGAGGAGAAACTCTCGGGAGAGGCTGAGGGCGCACGAAACATTGCCGGCCTATAAAACAAAAAGAAAGAAAGGAAAGGAGGAGTTAACTACACTGAGGATATCTCCTTTGACCAAATCATTAAATGGATTCAAACAAAAAACAAAAAACTATAAAATACTCTTACCACCAGGAGACAATAAGACTCATTGAAATGAGCAGCAGACTAGAAATGTAGAAGTTCTCAGTCCTAATTCAGGATTTGCAGCCCTAATGCAACTCAAGTCTCCTCAGTGTCCTCATTTACAAATGACTCATTCCCACCCTTACCGGGGAAGGTAGAAAAATAAATGAAAATAAACTTTCGTAAAGTGCCCTCAAATCTTAAAGCATGCAAAACCACATAACTGCAGGGTGTTGTTATTTCGGTATACTTAATTATTAAGCTTAACATGGAACTATAAAAGCCCTAGTAAAAATACAATTTGTTCTCCAGGCTCAGTGCTTCCTAGAGTCGACTAAGGTAGTGAGAGGGAGGCAAAGAAGAACTAAACCTGAAACATTCCCACTGCATAGTAATGACCTCTCCCTGCCACCACCATTCGACCTTGAGCTACACAAGCTCAGAAGTACACAGGGGCTTTCCAGACAAACTGAGGAACAGAACCCATTGTAGGTGGGCTGCCATCCTGCCCTGGGCGCCAAGGAATGATGAACTGATAGAATTGTATTTCCTTCTGGTCATTTCATTTTTGCATGTTAAAAATTCATGCTTAAGGATAAAAGCAACAAGAAGCACACTATGAAACCTGAGAAACGGGAAAAAGAAATGCTCTGCTGAAACCCAGGGGCTCCAGCACTTTAGATGACTCAGAGTGTACATAGTGAACAGTCGTATTTGTTACACATTTCCATATCCTGATTGTTTCACTCTACATTGTTAGCAGGCGGACTTTTTATATCATAGTCTTCAGAGAGGGCATATTTTAACTGTGGTAAAAAACACACAACATAGGGGCGCCTGGGTGGCACAATCGGTTAAGTGTCCAACTCATGGTTCCGCTCAGGTCGTGATCTCATGGTCGAGAAATTGAGCCCTGCGTGGGGCTCCACACTCAGCATGGGATTTGCTTGAGATTCTCTCCATCTCTCTCTGCCCCTCTGTACTCTCTTTCTCTCTCTCTCTCAAATGTACACATAGATCTTAAAAAAAAAAAAACCCTAACATAAATTTACCATCTTAACCATTTCTAAGTGTATGGTTCAGTAATGTTAACTATATTCACATTGTTGTGCAGCCAATCCCAAGAATTTTTCCATCTTGCAAATCTGAAACTTTGTACCCAACAAACGACTCTCAATTGCCCCCTTCCTTCAGCCCCTGGCAACCATCATTCTACTTTCTGTCTCTATAAATTTGATTCCTCTAGATACTTCATATAAGTGCAATCATACAGTATTTGTCTTTTTATGACTGGTTTATTTTATTTAGCATAATGTCCTCAAGGTTCATCTATGTTGTAGCATGTATCAGAATTTCCTTTTCTTTTTAAGATTTTATTTATTTATTTATTTATTTATTTGAGAGAGAGAGCGCGCATAGAGGGAGAGGGAGAGGGAGAAGGAGAAGCAGACTCCCTGCTGAGCAGGGAGCCCGACACGGGGCTCAATCCCAGAACCCCAAGACCATGACCTAAGCCAAAGGCAGATGCTTAACTGACTGAGCCACCCAGGCGCCCCTAGAATTTCCTTCTTCTTTAAGGCTGAATATTAGTCCCTTGTATGTATAGACCACATTCTGTTTACCTATTCATCCCTCAGTGGACACTTGGGGTTGCTTCTACCTCTTGGCTGCTGTGAATAGTGCTGCCATGAATGTGGGTATGCAAGAGAAAGAGCATTTTTAATAGCTGCATTTCATTCCACCTAGAAGCTACATCACAGATGACCTGGACATAGATTGTTTGCACTTATTTAATACCATTAGTTATTCTGTTCCATACTTAACAGAGGCATAGTTAAGTACTGTATTGATATCTTATAATGTCAGATTATGAACTCAAGGTTATAGCTTTTCAAAATCTTCTGAGATGAAGAGAGCTAAAATACAACTTTACATATTTTTAAAACTCAAGGGCTCTTTCATGAGATAAAATTACATTTTATCAAGAACAAAGTTACTTTTGGGGTGCCTGAGTGACTCGGTTGGTTAAGCGTCTGCCCTCGGCTCAGGTCATGATCCCAGGGTCCTGGGATCGAACCCCACATCGGGCTCCCTACTCAGTGGGGAGTCTGCTTCTCCCTCTCCCTCTGTCCCTCCACCTGCTCTCTCTCTCTTTCTCAAATAAATGAATAAAATCTTAAAAAAAAAAAAAAAAGAACAAAATTACTTTTGCTGTCCCAGTTAAATTTCTTTGGAAATATGTACACTAATGTTACATGCAAAAGGCAAACCTACGCCTGTAGTGTATAATATAATAATAGCTTACATTTGTTGAGTGCACATGTCATGAATGGTGTTAAGGGCTTTACATGTATTAGCTCATTTAATCCTCATGACAACCCTTTGAGGTGAGCATTGAAGGGGAGCAGAATAGGCCATCCCAAAATATGCCTCTTTGGCACAAGGATTTCAAGCTAATTATTTTGAGAAATGGCAGACATGGGAGAAGCTCTGAAAACCAGAGAAGTTACCCTTTTGTGACAGAAATTTACATTTATAAGGGAACCCTCCATTTGTAGGAGCGTCTCCCTCCATGTACCTGGAAAAGAAGGATGACTCTGAATCATAAGAGAATCTTTTTTTTTTTCTTAAGGTATATTTATTTATTTTAGAGAGAAAGAGAGAGAGAGCGTGCGTGCGCATGTGGGAGGGGGAGGGGCAGAGGGAGGTGCAGAGAGAGTCTCAAGCAGACTCCACACCCAGCGTGGAGCCCGACACAGGGCTCAATCTCACGACCCTGAGATCACTACCTGAGCTGAAACCAAGAGTCAACCTCACTACACCACCCAGGCACCCCTTGAATCACAGGAGAATCTTATCAATGAAGAAAGCTCACTTAAATCTGCGAACAACCTTGTTTGCATTTCCTGGTCACCCCCCCAAAATTGGCCTCCCCCCACACCTCTTTTTCTATTGTCTTTAGCTGGAAATGGTATTTAAGGTGGCGGCTTAGGACACTTCAAAGAGTTCCTCATAGCCCAGCCCCATCTCCCATGTATACAGGAGGTATGCGTGTAATAAACTTCTGTTTATTTTTCCTCTTGTTAATCTGTTTTTTATTTATGGGGAGGTCTCAGCCAAGAACTCAGAAGATTCAAGAAGAATTATCTCCCTTCCTCCCCCCACTTCCTAACAGCATCATTATTATTCCCCCTTTAAAAATAATAAAATTGAGGTCCAGGGAGGTTAAGTAAAATGCCCAAATTGTCACAGATTTGAACCCAGGTCAGTCTGACTTCAGAGCCTGTGGTTTAATCACTGCACAACCGTCTTTCATTAACAATGACTGAAATAATTTTTTACTAAAATATATCATGAAAAACTATTATATAATATACAGTATTATATATTACATGATATATATTACATATTTTAATATTTTCCTGGCATAAATAATTATATATATCATATATTGTATATGATAACGAAAGGTCCATGGAGGGACATCTATCTCAAATTTACAAGGCTTAAAAAGGGGACCGTAACTGTCTATGAGACAATGCCTGATGTGTTCTAGTACTGTCACGTAAAAAAAATGTGCTGTAAGAGCACAAAGAAGGAGTCTGAGAAGTCTGAGGAGAATTAAGGAAGGCTTCACAAAGTAGGTGACATTTGAGCTATGCCTTGTGAGATGAATAAAATTTACCAGACAAAGCATAATTGTGGAAAGGGAGAGTCTACCAGTGAGCAGAGGAGAAACCTAAGTCATCACAGGGGAAAAAAGCCAAAACCCATAATCAGGTGCTGCATTTAAAAATCTCTCTCAGGGGGCGCCTGGGTGGCTCAGTCATTAAGCATCTGCCTTCGGGTCAGGTCATGATCCCAAGGTCCTGGGATTGAGCCCCCCGCATCAGGCTTCCTGCTCAGCGGGAAGCCTGCTTCTCCCTCTCCTACTCCCCCTGCTTGTGTTCCCTCTCTCGCTATCTCTCTCTGTCAGATAAATAAATAAAATCTTTAAAAAAATAAAAATAGGGCGCCTGGGTGGCTCAGTTGGTTAAGCGACTGCCTTCAGCTCAGGTCATGATCCCAGGGTCCTGGGATCGAGTCCCACATTGGGCTCCCGGCTCAGCGGGGAGCCTGCTTCTGCCTCTGACCCTCTCCCCTCTCATGCTGTTTCTCTCCTGCTCACTCTCTAATAAATAAATAAATAATCTTTTTTAAAAAAATAAATAAAAATAAAATAAAAATAAAAAAATAAAAAATAAAAATAAAAATCTCTCTCAGGGTAAGCTGCTTTAGTTTATCTTCTCCTAGTCTCCATGTCAATCCTCCATTTTCTTCCTCTCTTAAAATTCAATTTCATCTTGCCGTTTGTTGTACCACAGTGTTTCTATTTCACCTTTAATATGGAGCAATTGAGCAGGCGCATTAGGAAGAGCACCCTGGAAAGTTTTACAACAAAGACCCACTTACCATGAGAAGAACAGGCCCATTTGCTACTTTGAGAATAAATCTGTTTTGGCAGCAACGTGTGGGTTTGGACCACCCATGTCCTCCTCCCTTTTCTCAGGAAAGGGGGAAAGAGAAAGGAATGTAGGGAGCAGAAATGGTTTATCAGCTTTGGAAACTCTAAGGAACTGGCTCTGTAAGCTATATTTCCAGCCTATTCTTGAAGACTATACAATTCTGGTGGGAAATGGATTAGCTATACAAAATGATGGCAGATCCCCTATTTAGGGAAATGAGCTTCCATGAGAGGATCTACAACAGCTCATAGGTCAAGTGCCAAGAAAAACCAACCCCTGGAGGAGGCACTGAGCTATACTATGGACCAGTGACACCAGCTCGATAGCCAGACACTAGTCATAGTTCCAGTTGGACCCAGTTGCAGATGGGAGAGGATAATGTCAGGGAGGAAGAGCTTCCTCTGCCCTATAGTCCTTCTAGATGGACACAGAATTAAATTGACATGAGACAGATTAACAGGAGAAAATCAAATTTCGTAGGCATATGTATGGGGAATCCACACAGACACAAAATTCCAAAGACGATGAAGCAACATGAAGCTTCAATGAGCTAAGGAGAGGGGTAGAGTCAGAGGACACAAAGAGGAGAAAGCTCATCAGCAAGAAAGTGAAAGGAGATGTTTGGAAAAACATGGTTACCCTATTATGCAGATAAGTTCCTTAGGTAAAGGGGAGTCTCTGTTAATAGCTCTCTTCCTGTTACAGGCTCTCCTTTCCAACATAAACTTAGGCAGTTGCAGGGAGGCAGAGAGCTTTTCCTGCATCTGCTGGGTTTTGATTACTTTTAACTAAAAGTAATTTTTATGCCAAAGTGCCCGTCTTGGGACAGCCTGCCCAGGGCCCCGACAATAACAATCAAACTTCTTCCTTGGATATTGGCAATATCACGACAGAACATCTGTGAAGAGATAGGAGTTGCTGGCAGTGCAAAACAGTGATCTACATTGACTCTGAACCCTTTAGACATTTGTTGATGGGAGCCTGCTTCCTACGTGGAAGACGATGGTTTTCAAGCAGTCAGGGCGCTGGAAAGAGCACTGGACTAAGAGTCAGACAGACTTGGGTGCTAATCCCAGCTCTACGAACTTCGTGACAAGTTAGGAATTTTGTGGAGATTTAGTTTACTCACATGTGAAATACGGAAATAATAAAACAACTGCCCTGCTTGACTCACATTTGGTCCTGTTGGGAAGATGAAATAAATTGAGAGACATGAAAATGTGTAGAAAATTGTCAAGCAGATATAAAGCACTATATTTATTGTGATAAAAGTAGTGAGCCTCACTTACTCCCCTACCTGGAAGTAGGCAAAGGCCAAGTGATCCAAGGCATCCTCTAGACTTGCCTCATCCTCTGTCTTCCATTCTCCATAAGATCCTCGGAAGAGACTGACAGCCTCCTCCAGCCATGGAATGGCATGGTAGTAATCCCCCATGTCATAGGCCACCTGTAGGTAACATAAGTACCATCATTAAGCCTGAATCCACAGGTAGAGGAGAGAAAATGACAAAGAGTGAGAGGGCTGATGGAACATAAGAAGGCAAGTTTTCATCTCAAATTCATTTAAATCCAATTTATCAAGCATCCATTATATCCAATGCATTGTTCTAGATGTAGAGAAGATACGAGGGTTCTTGCATTTAAGGAATTCATAATCTGGGGAGAAGAAAGATAGGAACTCAATTAACTGTAATACTGGGCAGAATGCATGAATACTCAAAAGAAATACGCATAATATGTCATGGAGGCAGAGAAGGGAGAGACTTGGGAATCTCAGAAGGCTTCGTGGAAGAAGTGGCATCTGAGGTAGGCGTCCCCCGAAGAAAGAAAAGGATTTCAATGAGTAGAGATTGAGAGGAAAAACATTTTAAAGTGAGGGAATGGCAGAAACAGAAGCCAAAAGCAAGCTTGTGTTCAAGTTGGACACTGTGGTTATAGCCTAAGGTGAAGAGAAGCAGGAAATGAACTTCAAAAGGTAGCAAGGGCTAAGCTAATAAGAGTTGTGAGTGTCATGTTTTTAAGAAGATACTGCCGGTAGCACTGTGAGAAATTGACTGAATTCATTCATTTATTTTCAATATTTACTGAGTATTTGCAATGTATCTGGTGATCCCTGACCTTAAAGAGCTCACAGTCATATGAGGGGCACAGGAGTAAATCAATAACTGCAACACAATATATTAGATCCACATGGGAATGCTCGAAGAGCTCAGTGACTTTTTTTCTATATTAAATGTTGGAAGGCAGGAATATGGCAACGTGTACTAGACCTTGCTCCTGTCTCCTAACAGCTTACAGTTAACTAGAATACCAGCACTGCAGGTGGTATTTCCTGGTAGTTGATGTTGGAGACAGCATGGAATTATAAAATCACAGAGTTGGAAGCACTCTTACAAAACATTCTAATTCTGCTCTTACTTCCAGACCAGCAGAAAGACAGGGCAGAACCTAGAGGTACTGAAACTGCAGTCTAAACAGTAAATCAGCTGCTCTTCCAGGTCTGCCATTCATCTGCCATGTTATTTCTCTGATCCTCAGATTTCCTTTTTGTAAAAAGGTTGAGTTGGAGAATAACAATCAAAATGACTGAACTTTTTCTACTAAGTTAACAATTTGTTAAGTTTTCCCAAGTCCCAAAAATATGGTAGACTGAGATAACTGGAATCCTTCCAAACAAAAAGACTTGGAACTTTTGAATAAAATATAATAAATATTTTATGACATATTTTCAAGAAAGAATGGAAAATACCCATGTACCAGGAAAAAAAAGGAGCTAATAAGCTTAAGAGCGGATGCTGAAGCTGCTTAGGATGGGGGCGGGTGTTAGTCTTAGTAATCTTGGTACTTAGCAACCTTGGTTATAATGCCCACATGAGGACAAACTATGAGCTCTCCTTAGGCCTCCCAAAACCTAGGAATTGGAACGAAGACACACTCATAAAACTGAAATCTATGAAAAACTATACCTTAAAGGAAAGGGTGGACCAGAAAAAATCTACCCACTGTTGCAAAGAGTCAAGAAAGTTGGTTTGTTTCTGTCTGGATATTGCTTAGGGGAAACAAAATGTCTCCTTAGAATATTCACAATCTTGGGGCACCTGGGTGGCTCAGTTAAGTGTCTGCCTTCGGCTCAGGTCATGATCCCAGGGTGCTGGGATCAAGCCCCGCATCAGGCTCCCGGCTGGGAGGGAAGCCTGCTTCTCCCTCTCCCACTCCCCCTGCTTGTGTTCCTGCTCTTGCTGTCTCTCTCTCTCTGTCAAAAAAAAAAAAAAAAAAAAATCTTAAAAAAAAAAAAATATTCACAATCTTGAGCCTATGCTTCACATGAGTTTAAGGTTTGAATTTGCGTTCTTCATATAGCTAAGGAAACTCCAAGCCAAAAAATCAATATAATAATGGATCTAAGGTCAGTGCAAATCAAAACCACAATGATATATCACCTCTTGCCTGTCAGAGTGGCTGTTACCAAAAGGGCAAGAAATGGTGCTGGCAAGAAAGAGTGTTGTGCACTGTTGGCAGGAATGTAAATTGGTGCAGCCAATGTGGAAAGTAATTATGGAGGTTCCTCAAAAAATCAAAAACAGAACTACCCTTTGATCTACCAATTCCAGTTCTGGTATTTACCTGAATAAAATGAAAACATTAACTCAAAAAGATATATGCACCCCCATATTCATTGCCAGCATTATTTACAATAGCCAAGATATGGAAACAACCTAAGTGCCCGTTGATGGATGAATGGATAAAGAAAATGTGATACACACACACACACATACACACACGATGGAGTATTATTCAGCCATAAAAAAGAAGGGAAGTTTGCCATTTGTGACAACATGGATGGACCTTGAGGGCATTATGCTAAGTGAAATAAGTTAGACAGAGAAAGTCAAATACCATACAATCTCACTTATATGTGGAATCTAAAACAAAAACAAACACTAATAACAAAAACCCGAACCTATAGATACAGACAACAGATTGGTTGCCAGAGGTGGGAAGTAGGGGGTAAGTGAAATGGGTGAAGGGGGTCAAAGGCATAAACTTCCAGTTATAAAATAAATCATGCAGATGTAATGTACTCAAAGAAAAGGATCTAAGGCCAGTATTACCACCAGAGTACCTGGAAGAAGAAAACCCAGTTTTCTTCTGGAATGATATTCCCACAACCCCAGTCACAGAGATTCTTTTAGTGGGGAAAAAAGTCGTGCTAAAAATAAGCTCACAAACATAATAAACCATATCAGGAAATAATCAACCATGAGCAAGAGTCAATAGACATGGCAGTAGGGTAGTACAATTAGATAACTAAGAATTTCAGAAACTAGAAAGGCTGATCTGCTTTAAAATAATCCTTGGAGGAGGAAATCGGAGACATGTAGATGAAATAAATTTGGCCACATGTTAATAATTATTGAAGCTTCTTCTTTGACCCAGCAATACCACTCCCAGGTATTTATTCAAGAGAAATAAAAACAGCTGTCCACAGAAAGACTTACACAAGAATGTTAATAGCAGCTTTATTCACAGTAGCCTAGGCTGGAAACAATCCAAGTATCCATCACTGGGAGACTGGATAAACAGTATGTAGTATATTCATACAATGGAATACTACTCAGCAATAAAAAGGAATGAACTATTAATAAATGCAACAAGGTGAGTAAATTTCACGGATCCAGTGTGCTGAAAGAAGCTGGACTCAGGATAGTACATACATATTGTATGGCTCAGGACAGTTCCTGGGCACCGAGGCAAGGGTAGAGTAGAATGGAGGGGTCGGGAGAGTGGTGAGAAGAAAGAGGAGGGGGGCTTTATTGAGCTATATGTAAATTCATTTTTTAATATTAACTTTAATGCCTTCTGTTTTATGTAAATTCCTTTTTAAAAATCTGAAATGAACGTTGCAAAATTTTAACCTATTTCATTTCAATTATAGATATAATCGCTTGTTGTATTATTTTATGTAGTTTTCTTATATTTGAAATGTTTTATCTTTTAAAATAAGTAAATAAATACAGAAATAAAGATTGCCAGTGAGGCTTTCAGGAAGGGACTTACTGAATTTTCAACATACGGTTTTAGTTTCAGAAAGGCCTCACGAATGAAGCATATATTGGTACCATACACGGAACTATTTTACCTGGCTGAAATTTAAATAGTCATGAACATGATGATTAAGCTCTGATTCCATTCAGGATCTTAGAGAAGGAAGAATGGCACATAGAGAGGCTTAGGACAACCCACCCTGCACTAATTTGGAAGACTGATCCCTAAAACTTGAGGCCCACATCAGGGCACATGAGGCCCACTCTCAGATCTGCTAATGAATACTGCAGGGGCTAGGAAAATTCACTTTCCTACAATACCATCTTCAAAATTAAAAAGGATTTACTCCATTACTTCTTATGGCAAAGGCTACCAAAGAGTATATTGTAAAGTGACCTCAAATGTGCTTATGAGTTATGATCAAAGATCAGTTAAATATCTCATATGGAAGGTTCCTGAAGTCCATTTCCTCAAGTAATGTGAAAGTGAATGGCCTCAGCTTTTTTACACTACCTTAATCTAATACTTCTAACTGCTTAGGAGATGTTGCAAGGGATTCCAGAAAGTCTCAGGAGGCTGAGTTTTGTGACCTTACCTCACATCTCCACCTCTTCTCCCCTTCCCCACTTCTCCTGCTTCTCCTTTCCACCCAGCCGTTCATCCGCAGGCAGGGTGCTACCATTAGGGTGGCCCCAGGACCATTTTTCCCAGCTCAGTCCCAAATTATGTCTGTCATCCAGCCGTAACAAATAACCACTAATAACACTCCCTTCATTCTCAAGAGTGTCCTGCGTGTGTGATCACCTTAGTTATTATGGAAAGAGCATGGGATTCAGAGTTAGAAGACCCAGGTTCAAAATTTATTTCTGCTACTTAAAATTGTGTAACCTTAGGCAGATTATTTACCGTGTCTGAACCTCGGCTTCTTCATCTGAAAATGGGGAATTTTACCAAATTTCCAAGTTTGCTGCAAGGACTGAAAGCATGTAAAAGCAATCAGGATATAGTTATTTCATCCACAAGAAACGAGGGCTGAGCACTCGGCGCTCTCTCTCTCTCTCTGGATATTGTTACCTTGCCAACTTGGAAGCAGTCATCTGCTGTGAGGGAGAAGAGCCGTCTGGGGCTGTACAGGTCAGTGACGGCGGAGCCAACGACTCTCTGGAAGACGCCCCGGGCCAGGCCCTTCACGTTGAGCATGTACACATCCTGCAGCCGCATCAGGGCCCTTGCTGCTCCCTCAACGTCCTCAAAGGCTGGCAGGTCCTGCTCCACCTTCTCATAACCATCCTTCAGAGCTGTCGGGGCAGTAAAAACACCAATCCACCACTCAAAAGCAGGTGGTGAGCATTTAATACAGGCAAGGCATAATCACCTGTCCAAATATTTCATGAGCAAAGATCATGTTTTATGTGTGTTTATTCCCCATGACCAGCACAGCTCTTGGCGCAGAGCGGATGCTTAATACAATCTTCTCAATGAGGAACATAAGCTCTAGAATAAAAACTAAAGCACACGTGTGTGTTTCCATCCTGTCTCTGGGAATCTTGCCCTTTGTGGGGATAATTCTTCTTCCTCTTAATCTCCCCAAAGTCAGCAAATTTCTTCAAGTACAAAGTAGAATAAATTAGGAAACTGACCTTGCTACAGATCATGTTATAGTTTAATAAAATAGAAATTATTAGACAAATATGTAAATGGAATGATATAACCTGTACTGCTTCATAGGGTTGTAGTGAAAATCAAATGAGATAATGGGGGGGTGCCTGGGTGGCTCAGTCGTTAAGCGTCTGCCTTCGGCTCTGGTCATGATCCCAGGGTCCTGGGATCGAGCCCCACATCGGGCTCCCTGCTCAGCGGGAAGCCTGCTTCTCCCTCTCCCGCTCCCCCTGCTTATGTTCCCTCTCTCACTGTGTCTCTTTGTGTCAAATAAATAAATAAAATCTTTAAAAAAAAAAGAAGTGAGATAATGGGCATGAAAGTACTTTTTTTTTTTTAAAGATTTTATTTTTAAGTAATCTCTACACCCAATGTGGGACTGGAACTCACAACCCCGAGATCAAGAGTCGCATGCCCCAAAAGTGCTTTCTAAAGTACAATCACATAGACATATTAACAAGAGGACCTAGTTCTTCATAATGGCTAAAGCTATGAAGATGGAGTAATACCTACCCACTTCATGACCCTTCATCACATTCCACCAGAATCTCTCTCCTTTCCAGAGTCAGGAGATAGAATCTTCTCTTACCCTCCAGCCCTCCTCCTCATTACCTCGGATGTTCTCACTGGCCTCCAGACTATGTACTACATTCCTCCAGTCAGACTGTAGGCGTTTGATGAGAGTAAATGCAAGCAGAGGGTTAGACACAGGGGTTGCGGAATCCTCGTGCAAAGAAAGCACCTTGTCATAGAATCTGGAAGAGAAGAGAATGATTTCACTTACTGATATAGCCACTGCCCCTAGCAAAGGCTGACATGGGGTATGTACATTCAGAGTAGTTAAAAATGAAACATGAACCCCTTGCGATTCACATAATAGTCTAACCAATAAGCACAAAGAATATGAAAACTCAAGACAACAGAAGTAGGTCCATTCACTTGTTCATTCAATGAGTCAGTCTCTATTGGTCAATTACTGTACATCAGGTACCACGCTAGATGCTAGAGATACGAAGGCAAGACAGGGTGGAGCTCTCAAGGAGTTCACAAACCAAAAAATATTTTCTCTCATCACTCTATAATCAATACTTAGAATCTGGTAGAAGCTTAAAAATGTTGTTAAATTGATTGCAATAATTGTGATACCAACTAGGAGAGAAGTGAGCTTATAATGCTATGTAATGCTCCAGCCACTTGTAGGCAGGGCCCCTAACCCAGGTGGGAGTTAGAAGGTGTAAGGGAAGACTTCCTGGAGGAAATGGCGCTTGATCTGAGTCCTACAGGATTAAATGATTGATAGCTGCTACTTACTGAGCTTTTACCACGTACAAGGCATCCTGCTAAGTGCTTTATATATATTTTTGTCTCATTTAATATCCCCAGCAACCCTCAGAATAGATTTTATCACGCCCGTTTTGAAGGGAGAGAAAACTGAAACAAGGCCACACTGTTAGTGACAAAACCAGATCTGAACCCAAATCTTCCTGACTCTGAAGCTTGTTCTCAAGCTGATTTTGCCATATTGTTTCCATGGAACTAAACCAAAATAGGAGGAAGAATTTTTTTTTTAGGTGTTGTTTTTTGTTTTGTTTTGTTTTTAACTTGAGTATAGTTGACTCACAGTGTTACGTTAGTTTCAGGCGTACATCACAGTGATTCAAAAAATATGGAACACTTCACGAATTAGCTTGTCATCCTTGCTCAGGGCCCATGCTCATCTTCTCTGTATCATAGGAAGAATATATTTTGAGCCAATGGGACCAACATGTACAAAAACACAGTGGCTTGACAAACATGTGTTCATTAATAAGTCAGTCTATACTGGTTACTTGCTAGATGGCGGACTCCATGCTAGATGCTGGGGATGAAAAGGCAAGACAGAGTCCAATGCTTGAAAATTTCATGAACAAGAAGAGAGCTGTTTTTCTCATTGCTCTATACCTAAATCCAACACACATTTATATGAAAGAGTAACTAAAACACATTCTTCTAGGAGCTAGGAACAGGATTTCGAATGAGACAATAAACTTGGTGTCAAGGACTCATGGACTAGTGGGTGAGACCCAAATAATTATATAACAGATGCAACACCAGATTTAAGAACAAGGCTTAGGGGGCAGTAAGGAGAGGGGGTAATTAATTTGGCCAGAGCAGGTCAGAGATGGTTTCACAGAGGCGATAATACACCAAAACTTGATGGGTGGATACAAATAAGGAGGAAAGGAGAAGAGGCAGGCAGAGATGGTTCAACACACGTGAAGGGACAGAGAGAAATGGGAGGGGAGTTCCAAGCTGTTCAGTGTACTCCTGGAGCCCCAGTGTATCCGGAGGATGATGGGTAGATCAGACTGGACAAGGGAGGAGCACCTCACAGGCCCTGCGGAGGAATTTGGGTTTTACCCTGAGTGCAATTAAGAGCCACCAAAATGTTTTCAGTGAGAGTTGATACACTATGATATGTTTACATATATGAATCTGTGAGAGGGCGGGGTTCAGAAGTGGGGATGACTGGAGACAGAAAGAACAGTCTGGAGGCCAGTTCAAAACTGGAAGCAAGAGTAAGGAGAGTCTGAACCATAATAATGACAGTGGGGGCAGAGGACAGGATAGATTCAAGGGAGATATTTAGGAAGCAGTCCATACAAACTGGTGGTTGTGATGGAGGAGGTAGACGTGGGGTTGTCCAGCAGGCGTCCGGCCTCTCTGGCTTGCTGACGTGTGTAGAAAAGGGCCAGAAATGGTAGGACCAGAAGTGATCACCTTTCTAGGCAATTTCTGTCCTCTTCAGATGTCCTATAACAGTGTTCACATCAGCAAAAGATGCTGTTTCCTTTCCTGGCATACTACAGTTATTCCATTTCTAACTCACTATCGGGATTAACATTATTACAGTTTATTGATGATAATAAGGCAGGCCTAAGAGTTTTAGGGATGCCCTCTAAAAATTTTTTCCTTGTTTTAAAATTATTAACTTCAGGAGCAATATAATAACAACAATGGAAGTAAAAGAAAAAAGTACGTGCAAAGTGAAGAGGATATGGATTTATAGGCATGTGCTCCAGAGCGGTGAGACTATAGGAGTCCTTTGGCCAGAGTGGAAGACTTCAGTGAGCAAGAATGGATGACAGGAAGAACAGAGGGAGTGGCAGGATGGGGGGATTCATTCCCTTGAAGCTGAGTCTGACCTAAGGGTTTCTCAAGGGTGGAGCCTGAAATAGAAGATGACTTGCCTCCAGGTGCCTCCAGGGAGCCCAGGATTCAATTCAAGCATAAACTAAGGAACAAGACTCTGGGCCTGGGTGCCCCAGGGAGGAAATGAGAACCCTGTCAAGGTGGAGGAGTCTCTGAAACAAGGTGCCTTGAGAGCAGCGGCTACTCTAGGGTTTTAAAAACTAAACCAGCCTCCAGGGTGTGGGTTTTTTTTTTGTTTTTTTTTTACTACCCATTACTTCCTGCTTCAGCTCCATATGGAACTACTTAGTGAAAGATATTCCACTGCTAGATGAAAACACTTACAAGCAGAGACTTGGGCTTGCATCCAGCCTGAAGAGTAAGTATCCAAGGACAACTGAGGCTGAGTGGGCAGTAATTTTATTAGACAGTTGGATTGGGAGGAGACCCGGCTTCCAACTATCCCTCAGTTTGCTCCTCTGTAATATAACAGAACTGGTCTAGTCTAGAAGATCTCTACGGATCCTTTCAGCATGACCATTCTATTGTTTCTTTATATCATCTTTTCCATAACTGAATAAATAGATTCTTCATTTGGTGCTTGAGGACTAATGTTTAACAGACATCAGAGGAAAGAAGCAAGGCAGAGAGGTGAAAATTTTTCCCAAGTCCTCCAGCCTATCAAAAGCACTAGCTCCTTGGGTGCCTGAGTGGTTCAGTTGGTTAAGCGTCATCCCAGGGTCCTGGGATCGAGTCCCACGTCAGGCTCCCTACTCAGCAGAGAGTCTGCTTCTCCCTCTCCCTCTGCCCCTCCTCCTGCTCATGCTCTCTATGTCTCTCTTCCTCTCTCCATGTCTCTCTTCCTCTCTCCCTCTCAAATAAAAAAATAAGAATAAAAAAAAGCATTAGCTCCTTGTTCTCTTCACATTGCACTTTGTATTATGGGGTCAGTTTATTTAGGGCAGGGGTTTGATCTCTACAGCAGCACATAATTCAGTTCAGCGTTCAGATACATCATTTTTCTGTCACATAAAGAAAAAAACCTATCAACAGATATCTGAGACTGGTTTGGAATCCAAACGTTGGCCCTATTCCCAGCCTCTGAGCAAATAGCTGCTTTTCAGAGACCGAGTTGCTGGATGCTGAATTCAAACCTCAGGGTTTCCTAAATGGCTTTTTGCTTTAACAAATGTTGCTGAGAGTGGAAAATCAGATCCTTGCTTCAAGAATCTGCACATAAAATTTGCAACCCAGTCCTGCATTAAGGATAGCCTGGAAAGGTTATCCAGCCGCAGTACATAGGCTATTTTAATTCAATATGTTTCTCCTTGGGAATTCAGAAATGGCTTTGTCTCAGTTCTTCTGAGACATTCCAAATGCTTAATTCATAACACAAAAATTATTGCTGCTGATATTACTCTTTCTCAGTAGTTTCTTTAAACTGCAACAGCAAAAAAAAAAAAAAGCTAGGGGTTAACTATATATATCTGTATATCTATATATATACACACACACACATCCAACTAGTATGTATATATACATATGTACAGCATATATACATATGTGTATATATATATATACATATACAACTAGTATATTTATACATATAACTAGTATTTACACTATACTAGTACATAACTATATATATGTGTGTGTGTATATATATATGTATATATATACTATAACTAGTAAAATTTTTATTCATTAACTTGGAGTAAGGAGTAGTTTCAACATTGAAAAATATTTTGTTTCTTTTTTTTAAGATTTTATTTATTTATTTGAGAGAGTGAGAGAGAGCATGGGGGGTTGCAGAGGGAAAGGGAGAACCGGCTGAGCAGTGAACAGCCTCTGCTAGATCCCAGGACCCCGGTATCATGACCTGAGCTGAAGGCAGACGCTTAACCGCCTGAGCCACCCAGGCACCCCCAAAATATTTTATTTCTAAATTTAGAAATTTAAAGAAGAATATCAACTGAGGCCCTTAGAAATAACATTTCAAGTTACATTAGATCACCAGATTGGGACTATAGGAAAATGAGCAGAACTGCCAAAATTCTTGTTTTAAAAAGCAAACATTTCACTAGGTTTTAGAGCATCAACTAAAGAACAGTCTCTAAAATATCAAACTAAACTTTCTTTCTTTTTTTTTTTTTAAAGATTTTATTTATTTATTTGAGAGAGAGAATGAGAGAGAGAGAAAGCACATGAGAGGGGGGAAGGTCAGAGGGAGAAGCAGACTCCCTGACAAGCAGGGAGCCTGATGCGGGACTCGATCCAGGGACTCCAAGATCATGACCTGAGCCGAAGGCAGTCGCTCAACCAACTGAGCCACCCAGGCGCCCCCAAACTAAACTTTCTAACTTAAATGTTCATAACTCATAGGAGAAGAGAATCTAGAATTTTTCTGAATCTTTATTATCTGGGCTCTCACAATCTTAGTGACTGCTTAGAGCCAAAGGTGGGGTCTAGTTTCACCAGGCAGTCTCAAAATAAACAAAAAATCATAGAGTTAGAGCTAACATTTGTTGAGCACCTATTACCTTCCAAGCAAAATGATAAATGCCTTTACATGGTACTTAATCCTTCCAACATGTCTGTGGTGTAGGTGCTATCATTACCATCATTTTACAAATCAGGAAACTAATGCTTAAAGAGGTAAAGGACCTTGCCCAAGGTCAGAGCCAAGGATTCAAACAGAGGTCTGTTAAATTCCTGCATCCAGACTCTTACCCACTATGTACTCCAGTTGTTCATAAAACTTCAGTAGTTACGGGGTTTGGTCTGGATCCTGGCACATCAGATAAAGCAAGCCGTAAGGACCTCATGGCATGATAGAAAGAAACAATCAAAAGAACTATGTCCTAGTCCTGGATTTGCTACCTACTGGCTGTATAATCTCGGGTAACTAAACTTTAGTTTTCTCATATTTTAAATGATTTCTCATGTGTTTGAGAGAGTCATACAAACCTATTTCAAAAGCATTGTGTGTAAGAAGCAAATGAGATTCTAGAGGGGAGGGGGGTGGGAGGATGGGTTAGCCTGGTGATGGGTATTAAATAGGGCACGCTCTGCATGGAGCACTGGGTGTTATGCACAAACAATGAATCATGGAACACTACATCAAAAACTAATGATGTATGGTGATTAACATAACAAAAAAAATTAAAAAAAAAAGAAGCAAATGAGATTAGCGTTCTGTGACAATGGTAATGAGACAGTAAAGGAGGCCAGCATCAGCACCGCCCACCCCCTCCACCAGTCGCTTTGATCCACAGTGCCATCCCTGTTCTGAACCTGTTCCCTGAGAGGCTCGGCATCAGGATCTTGACCCCCTCATCTCTATCTGAGCCACCCAAATAAAAAGATTAGTGGTATGAGAACGAGCACATGGATAGCAGGGAACTTGTTGGAATCTCAAATCAAAGAGAAGAGTCTTTTATTTCCACCAGTAAACCTAGACTCCGATGCATGTGGACTAAGAACAGAATTAAAACATTTTGCTTTATAGAGTAGACCCATAAAACACCGGGCAACTATGCAACCCTGAAGAGTGACAAGAATTACTGAAATTGGGCGCCTGGGTGGCTCAGTTGGTTAAGCGACTGCCTTCGGCTCAGGTCATGATCCTGGAGTCCCGGGATCGAGTCCTGCATCGGGCTCCCTGCTCTGCAGGGAGTCTGCTTCTCCCTCTGACCCTCCTCCCTCTCATGCTCTCTGTATCTCATTCTCTCTGTCTCAAATAAATAAATAAAATCTTAAAAAAAAAAAAAAGAATTACTGAAATTATCATCTTTTATTGTTATAATACACACATGTATTTTGTGTGGGTGCATGTGTATATAGTCACACTATTTCAAACTAATAGTAAATTTAAACACACATATAACTGCTTATATGTAAGCTACATACTTAAGTGCATATACCAAATTACATCATCATTCAGTCACCATTGAGTAACAAACAAGATCTTTCGCACACACTTCCACACACAGCCTGATTCTCTCCAACAGGAGTTCTCTCATACAGCCATAGTGTCCCACACGCCTTCTTCCCATGCACCCCAGAATTAGTATTACTCTCACATACACTCGCTCAGTTTTATCAGCAGTACATTGGGAGACAGCTCTCTGTTGCCTCAGCTCAGCAGAGGGCCGGATGATGTAAGACCTATATTAATATATTCAGATAGCAATGTGGTTACAGCACTGTCGTAGGCTTCTTCATGTCCTGAGCAGAGAAGACACAACACATATCCAAACACAACGTATCACATAACACAGCCATTCCTTTTTCATAGTTTGACACTGACAGTCAGTACATGATTACAGTGCCCCAGCGTGCCAAGTCTATAGTATTTTATGCCATCGTGTGTGGCACTAGAGTTTGCTGATTGTACAGCAAACAGTATTAGCTGAGCATCTGCTTGTGTGGCTACACTCGGTATCCTCTAGTATCAAGTATGCTTTTCCCTAGTGTTTTCTAGTGTCAATATACATATATTAAATCTCAGTTACCTTGTATTTAGAATTTAGAGAGCTCTTATATGTGGAAGGAGAAGGGAAAGTTGAAAGCAAAGGAGACAATGGACATCTCTGATTAACAGTCACGATGCTAGGGACTCAAGCTTCTTGAGGACACGGTTGCGGCTTGCTCACCATTTTATCCCCACTGCCTGGAACAGTGTGGGGCTCATAATAGGCAAACACCGGTGTTGAATGAGGTAACAAACATGAAGCATTATTCATATAATGAGCTGTACAAACAGCATCCAGAGTGATGCTGAGATGTCCATAATGTCTTGCCCATCCAGTCCCAAAGCCATGTAAATCTCACGCACGGTCACAGAATGTCACTTCCTATTTAGTCTTCTCATATTTTAAATGATTTCTCATGTGTTTGAGAGAGTCGTACAGTTCTCTGGGGCACACACGTAGCTACAGCGACACAGTTATTTTCTCCCTCTCACTCTCGCAGTCGCGCTGTGGCTCTGTGACCCAGAGCCTGGGGGCCCACACCGCTTGACTCCGGGCCTTGGCAGGTCCTCCTACTCGGCCTGAGTCACTCCGGACCACACTTTTCCACAGCGCATCAACTTGGCCGTGTGAGGATGGGTCTGGGGAGCTACTGGGTGTGTGCGACGGAGTTCGAGGTTCCACACTGTGTGATACAGCGTCCCTGAGGTCACGCTCGGTCTGCTTCCCCACTACCTTATGCCACGGTGTCTCGGGGGTCCCACACTGGGTGACACTGGCCTGACGGTCACACTGGGCCACACAGCGTCTCAGCCTCACGGTCTAGTGAGGCTCTTACCCAGTCTCAAGCGGGGTCTGAGGTCCCCCGCTGAGTGACAGCGAGACTGAGACACCCGCCACCCTACAGCACGGTGCCTCGGTCTCGCCCTCTGACTCAGTCTCCCCGACTCAGGCGCCTCTGTGGCCCCCGCGCGCCTTTTCTCACCTGGTCAGGTCGCGCAGCCGCGCCTCCTCCCCGCGCAGGTAGCGCCGCAGCAGCCCCAGCAGCCGGCGCTCGGGCGCCAGGGCGCGCGCCACGCTGGTCAGCGCCGAGAACGTGTCCCCCCGCGCCGCGGCCCCTGCCGGGTCCCCTGCCCGGAGCGCCAGCACCGCCAGCAGCGCCGCCAGCCCCGCCGCGGGGCCCATCGTCGGCTCTCGCGCGCGTCCCCTTGGACAGTCGGGCCAGGCCCCGGCGCGCGGCTCCCGCCCCGCCCCGCCGCTCCGCCCCGCCCCGCCCCGCCCCGCCGCTCCGCCCCGCCCCGCCCCGCCCCGCCGCTCCGCCCCGCCCCGCCCCGCCCCGCCCCGCCCCGCCGCTCCGCCCCGCCCCGCCCCGCCCCGCCGCCCCGCCCCGCCCCGCCGCCCCGCCCCGCCCCGCCCCGCCCCGCCCGGCCCCTGGCCTGCCCAGCCGCCCCGCCTCCGCCCCCCCACCCTCTTTGCTCTGAAGCCTCGGGGCGCTCTCCTCCCCCTCGCCTGCCCCCTAGCTCCTCCGCCGGCGTGGGGGCTGCCTGCGCCCTCAGGGTCCGCCCGCCCTCCACCAAAGCGCAGCCCTGGTAAGGTGTTTCCGCGGTGCCCGGTTCACGCTCGGGGAAGCAGAGGCGCGGGTGTGGGAGGACGAATTCACTGGTCTACGGCTGAACAACGCCATCCCCCGAACACTCACCGCTCTGGATCGGGGGTGAAAATACAGAAACACTACTGGATTCTGATGGGGAAATCCAGGAGAGTAAATGATGTGGTTGCTAATGACGATGAGCGTGGAGAGCTGGGGAGGAGCAGAGGGAAGGAAACACTTCATAGAAGACTTGACATCTGAGCCATCATGAAAGGCAGAATTCTGACCGAAGGTAAAGAGGGTGAAGGTGATTAGGGTCGCTGCATGACAAATCTAGGACCTATCAAACCTAAAACTGGGGTCCTAGGTCATTGCTCTATATCACATACCTATGGCCACTTAAGCAAAAACATTATTATTATTATCCTACTAGGCTATTTATCCTTTTCCCCACCTTCCCAGGCAATGTTCATTCATTCATTCAACAAATATTTAGCACCTCTATCACTGTGCTGAGGACACGGAGAAATAGCACATCCAACCCCGGGCTCACAAGGAAAAACAGATGTAAACAAGTTACCACAGTAAAGTGCTATCAGGAAAAGGGAGGGTTGTGCATTGAGCAATGGCAACACTGAGGAGGGAGTCCATGCCCTGCAGAGGTGGTGGGGAGGGCTTCCCAGGGGAAGCAATGTGTGCAGGCCCAAAAGGATGAAAAGAAATGGCCTGGAAGATGATAGGCAGGGAAGGGATGGGCTTACCTGGCAGAAGTTACCTATGTATACCAAGGTTTGGAGATGGAAAAATAGTTTGAGTTCCAGAAATAATGGAACTGTGGTTGGAACTGTCAGATGATATTATCATTGAATGACATACTAAAAAATCTAGCCTATCTTCTATGAAAATCCAATGAAAGTTTAAGGTGGCAATAACAGTAATAATAACAACAGCAACAGTAAAAATAATAGTTAATACTTACTGAGTGCTTCCTGTGGCTAGGCGCTGTCCAAGCATTTTATATGTATTAGCTCATTTAATTCTCATATTGACTCTATGGCATACATAGTATTATTAGTCCCATTTTACAAACAAGAAGATTGAGGCACAGAGAGGCTAAATAATGCACTCAACATTATTTATGCATAGACTACATTCAGAGGTATGCTGGTAAATTTGCTCTCCAGGAAAAGAAAAGTCCTGATTTGTGACATTTGCTGATTTCTGTGGTGTAAATTCTCCCACAATGGCAATGTCAAGGTACTTAGATATCACTGAACACAGTAAAGAGCTAACAATTAGCTCTAATGAGCTGATCAGAGCCAGCTCCAGCATAGTACTGCTCATGGAAGACACAGAGATGCACCACCCAGAGCCCCCTTGGTGGAAGGACTTGCTACGTGGCTCTGGGGGCGGGAAGGGGGTGCAGTCAGAAGAGTCTCCAGCAGTCAGCTCCTTAGGATCTGTCCTGCAGCAGAGAGCCACCTTACCTGAGGCCATTTCAAAACATCCTTGGGCAGCCTGCATGCAGTCACTGAGTGAGGTGAGGAAATAAAGACGGAGCTTAACTTAAACCATGTGTTATTGGCTTTGGCAAAGTCTTGAAGGCCCTCACAAAGATTGTTAAGCAAATCTGGAAGGGCCGCCAGGAGACTGTTGATGAGGGCTTGAAGGACAGGAGGGAAAACATTGTTGTAGGCTGAAGAAAAGGGCACCTGAATGCCGTTCCAAACTGGAAGAACAGTTAATGAACCTTGTCCCGCAGGGAATGTGAAAATAGAAGACATTCTAATAATTACGTTGTGAATCTGGCTAAAGAAGTCTCCAGGCAGAATTATGAAGCTTCAAAGAATCTTAAGGGCATTTCTTTTAGAGTCTCTCTGGTAAACAAGAGAGCCTCAAAGAGTCTTAAGACTCCATAAAGTAAACTATTTCAACTAGGCAAAAATGCTTCTAAGAATCTTAACACTGTTGTACCACAACATCCTGACTCTCAACCCAGGTTAGAGAAGGGCCCAGGAAGAAATAATAGATGTGGCTTTTGTCTAAAGGAGTGAATTCCACTAAGATTTATAGGAAATCAACAAAAGTTTTAAGATGAGGGGCACTTGGCTGGTTCCATCAGTGGAGCATGTGACTCCTGATCTCAGGGTTGTGAGTTCGAGCTCCATGTTGGATATAGAGATTACATACATACATACACTTTACAAAAAGTTTTAAGATAATTTTATCAGAAGAAGCACTGCCAGTTTGGGTTAAAGACAAAGAGAATACCAAAAAAAAGAAGGAAGGAAGGAGGGAGGGAAGGAGGAAAGGAAGGAAGGAAGGAGAGAGGGAGGGATGGAGGGAGGGAAAGGAGGGAGGGAGGGAAGGAAGAAGGGAAGGAGGGAAGGAAGGAGGGAAGGAAAGAAAGAAAAAAGATGGCTTCAGACCCCTGTATCAGTTTCCTATTGCTGCTGTCACAAATAACCACAAACTTAGTGACTTGGAACAACTCAAATTTATTATCTTACATTTCTGGAGTTCAGAAGTCTGACAAGGGTTTCACTGGGCTGAAATCAAGGGCATCAGCAGGGCTGTTTCTTCTGGAGGCTCTGGAGGAGAATCTATTCCTTGCTTTTTCCAGTTTCTATGAGCTGCCTGCATTTCTTGATTCGTAGCCCCTTCCTTCATCCTCAAAACCAGCAACATAACATGTTTAAATTTCTATTTGACTTTGCTTCTACTGTCACATCTCCTTCTCTGACTCTTTTTAAGGACCTTTGTGATTACACCAGTCTCACCAAAATTAGTCCAGGATAATCTCCCCATGTCAAGATCCTTAACTTAATCACACCCCCAAAGTCTCAGGTTTGGGGAACTAGGGCATGGGCATCTTTAGGGGGACTTTATTCTGCCTACTATAACCCCCAAACTTCTGTGGGCAGAAAGCAGGCTGAGATGACTACTCAGTTGCAAACAAGGGTCCACAGCCATTTCTACATTCTCTCCATCAGGAGATGTGTTAGGAGGGAAAGTGTAGCTGAGAGGAAGAGTGGAAAGAGATAACATAACCAACTGTGGTTAAAACAGCTTTTGGGGGCAAATTTTGCAAATTCATATAGCAACATTGCTAGGCTCACCCATCTTCCCAGTCCTGAGGGCCTCAGAAAGGGTTTACACAAATTAGGGGCATTGAAGCTTAAGCTTCATGGCAAATCTGCCTCTGGTTGCCACTGAGGACAGGGACTCTGGATCTACACTATCTGGGTTCAGGTCTCTGCTCTATACTTCTGTTGTCTGCTTTGATGTTACAGATTGGGTATTCCAGAAGCAGACAATGAGATAGAGTTTGGGGTGCAGGAGATTTATTACAGATCAAATCTGTGAAGGGGACAGGAAGGAGGGAAGGGCAGAGGAAGAAGTCAAAGAGGACTGACCAAGCTTTGATCAAAGTGGCAGGAGGGCTGCAGCTGGTTTCTCATGTCAGAGCTGTCTCGCGTCAGGCCTGAATGGCTGGGCCTTTATTCCCTCACCTCACTTGGTCATTGTTTAGGGTTCATTTAACTTCTTGGATCTGTATAGGCTTACGTCTTTTGTCAAATTTGGGAAATGTTCGTATATTATTTCTTCAAATACTTCTTTTACAAACTCTTCTGGAATTTTGATGACATGAATTACATACTACCTCATAAGTCCTCAGGCTCTGTTCATTTTTTTAAACATATTTTCTCTGTTGTTCAGATTAGATAATTACTATGGATCTGTCTTCAAGTTCACTGATTCTTGGCTGTCATCTCTATTCTATTGAGTCCATCAATGAGTTTTTTTATTTTGGTTATTTTACTTTCAATTGTAACATTTCCATTGGGTCCTTCTTTATATTTTCTATTTCTTTTTTTTTTTTTTTAAGATTTTATTTATTTATTTGACAGAGAGACACAGTGAGAGAGGGAGGACAAGCAGGGGGAGAGGGAGAGGGAGAAGCAGGCTTCCCGTGGAGCAGAAATTTACAATTCTGAACTCCAGAAATGTAAGCATCTGAAGGCAGATGCTTAATGACTGAGCCACCCAGGCGCCCCTATATTTTCTATTTCTTTGTTGATACTTTCTACCTTTACATTCTTTTCAAGAGTGTTCATCCTTGGGGCACCTGGGTGGCTCAGTGGATTGAGCATCTGTCTTCCACTCAGGTCATGATCCCAGGGTCCTGGGATCGAGTCTCACATTGTGTTCCCTGCTCAACGGGGAACCTGCTTCTCCCTCTCCCTCTGCCTGCCACTCTCCCTGCTTGTGCTCTCTCTCTCTCTGTCAAATAAATAAATAAAGTCTTTTTTTAAAAAAGGGAGTGTTCATCCTTACTTCTTGGAGCATTTTATGAGTCCTCAACAATTTTCAGCATTTTTGTTATCTCTTCCTGGATGTCTGTTGATTGCCTTTTCTCATACTTGAGATTTTCCTGGTTCTTCATATGCAGAGTAATTTTGGATTAAATACTAGATATTTTGAATATATAAGTGTCTAGATCTTATTTAAGTCTTATAGAAAATATTAATATTTTTTGTTAGCATTTATTAACTCAGTTGGATTCAGGCAACAAGTTCTGATCTGCCTTCTGTGGCCATGGTTTCAATGTCAGTTCAGTTTTCAAAGTTTTTGCAGTGCCATTGAGATCTGTCCCAGTTGTGTGCCACTTTTGGATCTGGACAGTGGTCTATCCCATACCTCAGTAGTTAGGTCTATGGCATGCAATTTAGTGTCAGATCTATGCATGCAGAGCTAAGAGGTGAGTCCAGAAATTATGGGGTGGATCTCTTGAGCTTTTCTCTCTCTGCAATCTCTCTGATAGTTTCCAGTCCCCTGAGACTTCCCTTTTTGGTTCTCTGGCCAGAGACCTGGGCTTCAAACAACTCCAGTCTGCTGTGTGCTTCTCATGACTACATATGTCTGGGGCCAAGTGGCAGGAGGACACAGAGAGAAAAAAATCAGTGGGGGTTTCCCCACCCTGTTGGGGATGCTGAA